TATAACATATTTCTCTTCAATTCGTGAAATCTCAACATGAAGAGCAGTTAAGGGTAATTCATTAATTCATTAATTGTTTATTATTTTAGTACGTTGTTGGTGGACTTTCACGTTCGGATATTTGATTTTACGAGGAGGATAATATTATTATTGGTAGATATAAATAATCTAACTATACTCAGTAATAGTATACGAGAAATTTGATCTTGTAAAAGCGGATGTGACATCAGTTGTTTTAATCTCCGGTCACAGTTGATATTCTCGTTGTATTGCCTCTTGAACGGTAGATCGTGACCGTTAGCCATAGTTTACCTCATAAGTCATACTTGAGTCAGATCCCTAGATGGTGTATTGGTATCTACTGAGCAGTATGAGTACCGTAATTGAATGTGCTATCTAATCTATATAATCTTGTATTTCATCAATCCAAATGTTTATATTAGGCATAGAGTCGGGCTGAACAACAACTCCTAGTTATTCAGTCCAACCAGACCACTCAATAAGCATAGTCAACTTGCACCACTTAATTAAGGCCCTAATATATAATATATAATATATATTATTAGGAAAAATCTTACAATTATTTCTTATAAAATTTTACTACCGGAAGGTGGTACTCGTGATCATCTAGATATGAGAATGATTTTTCATTCACTTGTCACAAACGATATATAATACGGATTTGACCGAAAAAATGTTTACAAAAAAATTGAACTCGTGATCATCCAGGTACGTACAACAATCATGTCTCGAAAGAAGTATGTACTAAGTAAACCATATTCATGTGTAGTAGCTCCTAAACCACGCACACAAAAAACCCTGACGAACTTGATAGAAAGGATATTCCTAAGAATTTAATCCACAAATCATATATCTAAAGTACACCACACTATGAAAAATCAACTAAAAAAATATTAATAAAAATTAAATCTATAACATTTTTTAGAATCACACCCTACCCACTGGACCACAAAGCAGTATCCTTTTGACAAACACTTGCCGTGAAACATATCTTTGGCAGTGTTGGAGTCGGTAAATAGTCAAATTTCTCCTAAACATAGTTGTTAAAACAGCGCACGTCACACATATATTAGAATATACGTCTTTTCAATTTTCACGTCTTACCTTCATATTTTAATTAACTAATACTCCGTAATAATAATAATAATAATAATAATAATAATAATAATAATAATAATAATAATAATAATAATAATAATAATTAAATAATAATTTATTATTATTATTATTGGTAGGGAATACCCCCACCGACATGCCATGTGTTTTATTATTGTTTATGCAGGATCGCAGGACGGGTATTCCTGAAGGAACCCGGTCGGACCCGTCCGGTGCATCTTCCGACCGATATCTTCAACACCCTATCGATGACCCTTGGATGAGAGAGCTGAGAAGAAGCACGTGGCAACGTTACGCGCTGACAGGCAGGGCTTGCGGGGTGGAGACACGTGGTTGCTACGTGGGTTACATGCCGGCCGGCCGGAATTGTGTCTCCGGCCTAGCGGCTATAAATACCTGCGGCGGCAACATTGTGAGGGACTTTTGGAACGATCGATAGGTTAATTACAGAACAGCCCGACCGCAGTCAGTCGGCCCTGGGAATAGCCATTTTAGATTGTATTAGATCTTTTACCCGATCACTAAAGACTTTACTTGCTTTTGACTTGATCGTGTTGACTTCTTTGACCGCATTACGTGAAATTTACACTATCAATTATTATTATTATTATTATTATTATTATTATTATTATTATTATTATTATTATTATTATCATTATTATTATTATTATTATTATTATTATTATTATTATTATTATTATGCTACTCCGTACTAAATTATTTAGGACCAAAAAAAAACATTAAGGGTGTGTTTGAAAACTAAGGAGATGAGTTCTAAAAAATTAATAATCTTTAGAAAATATTATTAAACATTTTAATTATTTTGTTTAGAATATAACAACATTAATAATAATAATAATAATAATAATAATAATAATAATAATAATAACAACAACAATAATAATAAGTTGTGGTGGTGGAGAAAGTGGTGGTGGTAGTGGTAGTGATAGTGGCGGCGACAATGGTCCATGGTAGTGATAGTGGTAATGATAGTGGTGACAACGGCAATAGTGATAGTGTTGGTGTGGAAAGTGGGGAAGTCATTTTCAAGAAAATGTGAGTATTTTTCTTTGACCAAATACTCATTTTTCCTTGAGTCACATTTTCCACTATATTTACCAAATACTAGAAATCCAAAAAATAATTTCTAGAAATGATTTTTCGAGTTTCCAAACACACCCATAACTTAATTTATTTAGTATTTTATATAGGTCTAGCTAAGTTTGGATCTTAAAAATGTAACTATTTATTTTAGACACTCATGATTCCAGATAAAAATATAACTACCTTAAATTCATGAAAGATTTTTTGATCAGCCAGAGAAACCAATAATTTTAAAGAGTAAGGCTAAACACCTATCATAATTTTTCCTACAATCCATCCATCAAATTGGTTACTAATTTTTTTAAATTAGTCGTGAGCCATTCAATGAGCACCCAATAAATAAAGAGTAACCTAGCCAAAGACCTTGTGGTCAAGCGGTATGAAGTGATTCTTTCAAAGAACAGGTCATGAGTTTGAATTTCACTGAAGGTGATATTGACTCGTTGAGCTTCAGTAACGCTATTTAACTTAAAATTGATGTCTGACAACAACAATGGGCATTTTGGACTTTATTACTTATTCCCTTGCAATTCTTATTCCCTTGCAATTCTCATGTATACCAAATTTAAATTCTAACTTTATTCCCAGTAATTCATCCCCCATAAAATTACAATTCATTTCTCACATAATTCTCTCCCTCCAACCAAACGTCTGTTAGAGATGAAATCTATAGTGGGAAAAAAGCATTTTCTATAAATAAATGTTGAGTAAGAAAATTTTTCTAAATTTAAAAAAGAAAACTACAGATCTAAAGTGGGGAAAAAAGCATTCTCTATAAATAAATGTTGAGTAAGAAAATTTTTCTAAATTTAAAAAAGAAAACTACAGTAATGGTATGTAGTAGATATTCTGATCCTGCCATATTTAAGGAGAGGAAATGAACAAATAATAACCAAACACTGAACGCATGTCCTTATTCGCAATTGGGATAAGGACGAATTGAAATATTATATGAAAGATCATACGTGTTAGATTGTAATACCTTTCCTCTTGATCTTCTCCGTCGATCATAATCTTTTTACAGATTTAAAGCAGTTTTGAGCTGACTGTGAATCCAAAAAGCGGTTGCAATGGATCAACTGAAGCTAAGTCCGGCGAATTCTTGCCCGCTGACACCACTGAACTTCTTGGAGAGAACGGCCACCATCTACGGCGACTGTACTTCCGTCGTCTACAACGGCACGGCGTATACGTGGTCGGAGACCCACCGGCGTTGCCTCCGTCTGGCGTCGGCGATTGTGGGCCTTGGGGTTGAGAGAGGGCAGGTGGTGTCTGTGATGGCGCCCAATATTCCGGCCATGTACGAGATGAACTTCGCCGTGCCCATGGCGGGAGCCGTGCTCAACTCCATCAATCTCCGGCTGGATGCTCGCACGGTGTCGATTATGCTCCGCCACTGCGAGTCGAAGGTGATCTTCGTTGACTGCTTGTCGAAGGATGTGCTGATGGAGGCTCTGTCCATGTTTCCGGCGGAATCGCCGCGCCCGGCGCTGGTTCTGATAACCGACGAGGAGTTTCCGACGGAGCGGGGAAGGGAGTTTGTTGATACGTATGAGGGTTTGATCGAGAAGGGTGATCCGGGGTTCAATTGGATTAGGCCGAGGAGTGAACTGGATCCGATCGTCCTGAATTACACTTCCGGGACGACGTCGGCGCCGAAGGGAGTGGTTCACAGTCACCGGGGAGCGTTTCTTATGACTTTGGATTCGTTGAACCAATGGCCGATGCCGAAACAGCCGGTGTACTTGTGGACGCTGGCCATGTTCCACGCCAACGGGTGGAGCTACACTTGGGGAATGGCGGCGGTGGGCGCCGCCAACATCTGTCTCCGGAAATTCGACGCCGCCGTTATCTACGCGGCGATCAAGAACCACCACGTGACGCACATGTGCGGCGCGCCGGTCGTGCTCAACATGCTATCGAATTTCCCAGGCGTGAAGCCGCTATCTCAGCCCGTTTACATCATGACCGCCGGGGCGCCACCGCCGGCCGCCGTACTTTTCAGAACGGAGTCATTGGGGTTCGTCGTCAGTCACGGCTACGGATTAACGGAAACCGGCGGACTGGTAGTCTCCTGCACGTGGAAGAACAAATGGAACAAATTTCCGGCCGAGGAAAAAGCGAAGCTAAAAGCAAGACAGGGAGTGAGAACCATCGCAATGACAGAAGTGGACGTCGTGGATCCCGACACAGGGCGGAGCGTGAAGCGAGACGGGGCGACTCTCGGCGAGGTTGTTTTCAAAGGAGGCTGTATTATGCTAGGATACCTTAAAGACCCAGAAGGGACCGCCAAATGCTTGAAACCAGACGGGTGGTTTTACACGGGGGACGTCGGGGTGATGCACCCCGACGGCTACCTGGAAATCAAGGACCGGTCAAAGGACGTGATCATCAGCGGCGGGGAGAATCTGAGCAGCGTGGAGGTAGAGTCGGTGCTGTACATGCACCCGGCGGTGAACGAGGCGGCGGTGGTGGCCCGGCCGGATGAGTTCTGGGGCGAAACGCCCTGCGCTTTCTTGAGCTTGAAGGCCGGCGTAACCAAGAAGCCGACGGAGAAAGAAATCATGGAGTTCTGTAGAGCAAGAATGCCGCATTTCATGGTTCCAAAAACAGTGGTGTTTCAGGATGATCTTCCCAAGACCTCCACCGGGAAGATTCAGAAGTTCTTGCTCAGGGAGACGGCTAAAGCCATGGGCAGCTCCAAGCTGCAGAGGAAGAGTAGAATGTAGTTAAATTCAGTATGAATTGAGTGTTCCAAGTTCAAACAACCACGATTGTTTCCTTTCAATTAATAAGCCAATTGTTATCAAATAAAACACATTTGTGAGATGTTTAAAGCAATTCAGCACTCTACTATAGATATAAAGAACTATAATTATGCTTAATTCCCTGGTTCACAATCTATCACTTAAGAACCAACTGATCTGCTTGTGGAGACAAGAACTATGATAATATGGTTGTATGGGTTGAAATTTCAGGCTCGGGCTCGTTGCAGCCTGCAACGAGCCTCTCAACAGGGATCTTTGTGACATCACGGCGAACGCCAATATCAGAAACGAACCGGCTGAGGCAATATATGGTGCATCCCATGGCTGCCAGACCCGGGAAGCTGTTAGTCATGAAGCGAAGCGGGGAGGAGACCACGGCGGTGGCAGCAGCTAGAAACGAGGTTGCTTGTCCGCTACGGCCTACACTGACATTAGTGAAGACCAGCAGACCTGTCTTGCAGTAGATTGCGAAGTCCTCACAGTTGTTCTTGAACAGGCTGTAAATGCCAAAGCCGTTTTGGAGGAGGAACTCAGCGCGGTGGAGGACGTGGTCGGGTGGATCTGAGGGGGCGAGCGTGCACGTTCCTCCTCGAGCTTTGGCGATGAATAGAGCCGGAGAAACACCGTACTGAAACAGATATAGTTCGCCACCAGAAAGAAAGCATTCGAGGCAGGATGAGATGACACCTTCAGCTGAGACTTGATTGCCACATCTTGGGCATGGGGAGTCTGAGGCATGGGAAGGAGATGCGCTGAAAATGAAGCGGTCTAGTGAAGTTCCTGTCCCGATTTCCTGACCTGCAGCTCGCGTGAAGTGGATTACCTTACCATCGCCAACATATATCCCTGAAATTGACATGAATGTTATATTGAAGTTCACTCATTCAAAGATAATAGGAGTAATGAACATTTCCAAACCAGACAAAAACTGGCTCCTTCATTTTCTTGGTTTTTTTGGATATAGAAAAGCAGCCTAATCCTTCTGATTCACCAACTTCCTATAAATTTCCTTTGGCTTCAAAAGGGACGGTGTCTATAACTTTGAAATTAAACAGCATAACAGCCATTAATCAACTCATAAATCACAATCACTAACAAGGCCTATTCCACAATATAAACTAGCATTTAGCCTGAGAAATTCATGTTACAAAGACATGGGAAAACATTTTCATTTGCAGCATCAAACAAGTCTTTTACACTAGAACTGAAAAGGAGACACAGACTTGACACATAGAGGGAAAGGCGTAAATCAATTGATCAGTGACATCGGTTCTGGTTTGGAGGAGAAATCAAGTTTTTTTTTTTTTTTTTTTTTGAAATAAAAAATAAAATAAAATATTGAATTTTTTTTTTTTTTTTTTTTGGAGGAGGAGAAATCAAGTTGTGAAAGGTATCAGGAGAATTGGGAGAGCAAAGGACTTTCTGAACAATGTCTGTGGAGGTCAAGAATGAGCCAAGTAGCATTATCAGAACCCCAACTTCTTCTGACATGGTGGTCTCCCCCGGTTGCCGGGGCGTTAAAGATCAATCTTTCTCGCTCTTCGGCGGCTGAGGGGGCTGCGGTAGTGGTGCGCAACCAGGAGGGTGGCTTTTGTTACGGGGTTGCGTGGTCTGGCCACGGGGAGCACGCCCGGGGCATGTTCCGGGTCCTTTTCTCTTGCCTGGAATGGTGCCTGGCCGGAGGAACTACTTTGATTGATATAGAGTCCACTTGGGCGGAGTTGGCCAGCTACGTTGACATCTCTGCTCATCCGCCGTGGCTTCTAGATGATGTGGTGACCAGACTCCGTTTCTTGTGTTCCTGTGGAGTGGTTACTGCTGCTGTGTGCCCGTCTAGGGCCAATATGCCGGCACAGGCACTAGCTGACTGGGCGATGGATAGGCCGGGGGAGGCCATCTTTCGGAGCCTCAATGATCTGCCACGTAGGGTCCGTGCCTTGCTGATACATGATGATGTGCCCTATGTGTTTTTTGATATTGATGATCCCCCCTGATTGTACTTGTGCTTTTGCTCGTTCAGATGGAAAGAAAGAAGAAAAAGAAAGAAGGGAAAATAAGTAAAAAAAAAAGAGAGAAAGAGAGATGGAAATATGAAAAGGAAAAGAAAATGAAAAGAAAAAAGAAAATGGATTTGAGAAAATGAGAAACGATTGAAAAGAAATAGAGTGAAAAGAATTGGAGTGTAAAAGAATTGGAGGGAAAGAAAATGAGAGTTGGAAAGGAAAAGAAAGAGTGGATGGGAGCTCAAAATAGTGAGTGTGTGAGGTTCTTGGGAGGCCGTGAGGCCCTGCTTGCAGCGCTGAGTCTCAACGTAAGGTGCTGGCGGTACAACAGGGCACCCTAGTCCGGGCTGAACGGTGTGTCGGGCAGGATTTTCAAATCCGTTGACCTGGTCAGGCTTGCTGCTGGCCAATAGTAGCTGAGTTCCTTCTGGACTCCGGGGGGGACGGGCTATGGTTTATTTTTTGTTCGCGTCAGCCTGTTATAACCTTAAACACTCACCCGAGGTAGAATTAAGTTGGGTCATGGGAACAGGATGCTTGGTTGTTCTATCTTGTTTCTATTTTTGCAGGTGCTGTTTCTTTGGCCTCGGAGGCATGAACTGGTCCTGGGCTGTTTTGGTTTCGCCTTTGCAGGCATCTTTGGGAAAGACCAGGTCTCAACGCCGATGCAAGCGGTAAAAATTGCATCGTAGCCCGGGCTGAACGGTGGCCGGGTAGGTATTTTTCAAATCCGTTGGCGGTAGTCCAGGCTTGCTGCTGGCCCATAGTAGCTAATCCCGTTAGGGTTGGTTCTGGTTCGTGCTGGTGCTGATCGGGGGTTCTGCTATTGGCTGCCTTGCGCTGCGTTGATCGATTTTGGCCTGGGATCTACCTTGTACCTTTGTCTTAGGCCTGCGTGCCACTAAGCTTGGTATCTTGACTTAGGCCTGCGTGCCATTGTTAGCTGTATATCTTGACTTAGACCAGCGTGCTATCTGTTGTATGGCATGTCTGGTTCTACAGGGCGGCCAATGGTGCTCCGGGAGGTGTTACAATTGTGGTGCAGCCCGGCTAGGCGGCATTATGGTGTGTAGTCGCTGTAGTGCAACTGGCTGGGAGGGGCCATGTTTGTCACACGCGAGGCATCTATCCTCGCTATTTGAGCTTTGGTACTACATGATGGGCTGTGAGGCAGTTGGGCTGCGCGTATTTGGAGCAGCTTGTTTAATCATATTCCTGCCTACGTTTAGTTAGTGATAGCTAGCATAGGACTTGGGGCATGCATACTAGAGCCCCGGGGGCCTCTTTATGTAATCTTGTTTTATTCTAAAAAAAAAAAATAATAATAATTATATATATAAAAAAAAAAAAAAAAAAAAAAAACTTCTTCTGACATCTCCAAATAAAGACAATTCATATAATTAAGGCAGTGCAGTGATCCTTTTATCTCTTATAGGTAAGGTCCTACACCTGTGATTGATCCCCCAACACCCCATCCACCCTCCCCCTCCCCAGAGATGAAAAGAAAACATAACTTCTTTTTTTTTTTTTTTTTTAAAGGTGAAGCAAATCTATATCCATATAGACAAAATATAAAAATAGTTCCTCTTTCATTTTTTTAGGTCACCAGCGAATTGTGGGAAATATTTGGTTAAATTAAAAATGTTTATTATTAGCGGTTAATATGTCAAAAGACATATATGGACATGAGTATATTTTAATAAAAATAATTAATTATATAATAATCTTTAATTATAAAAAAATTAAATAAATAATGTAAATAAATAATATAAATTAAATTAAATTAAATTAATTATATAATATTTTATGTAATTATATTTTAAATAATAATTTATTATTAATATTTACAACTCATTTTCTTAAGATTTAATGGTCCTAGATTTATAAGTGTCAGTCCACTTTTAGTTATTTTTTTTCAAAACATCCATCATTGGTCCTAGTATTATTATAGCATGACTATTTTTTGTTCTCCATTAACAAAATTGTTTCAATGACATTAAATACAAAGACATTATGGTATATTCAGTTCTAAAAGTTTATTCTTTTTTCCTTTTTTGGTCCTAAATTTATGTGTCATTCCAATTTTAGTCTTTTTTAGAACATCCCCGTTGATCCTAATATTATTGTGACATGACCATTTTTTGTCCTCCGTAAGCAAATATGTTTAGATAGCAATAAAAATGACATTTTTAACCATTTAAAATTATTACCAAGAAGAAAAAAGAAAGATTTTGAGTGGTTAGTCATTAAAAATGTCATTTTTAATGTCATTTAAACATATTTGTTAACAGATAACAAAAAATGGTCATTCTACAATAATGCTAGGACCAATGGAGATATTCTGAAAAAATAAAATAAAAAGATTAAAAATGGAATGACAAATATAAATTTAGGACCAAAAAGGAAAAGGAATTAAAACTTAGAACTGAATAGACTGAAATGTCATTGTTTTTAACGTCATTTAAATGGTTTTATTGACGGGGGACAAAAAATAGTCCTGCCACAATAATATTAGGACCAAAGATAAATCCTTTGGAAAAATGACTAAAAGTGGACTAATTGCTATAAATCTAATACAAAAAATGAAATTAACTCTTTTCTTAATATAAAATAATTATAATGTTTTTTTTTAAAGAAAAAGTAAAAGTAAAAAAAAAAACAAATAAATAAAACTGGAGCATGAGACTCCCTTATAAAAGGAGAGCCTCATGCTCAGTTGCTCACTTTGGGAGGGGCAGTATGGAAACAAAACTATGTTTTGGCAAACGGCCAAAACCTGCAAATTTGTGAAGTTTAGCGATTTGTACACCAAATGAAGTTTTTGGCATTTTGACCAAGTCAAACCACTAAAGTGGTCAAATCTGCCCAAGTCTGGTCAAAACGCCATTTACGGTTTACCAAAAACACTATCCAATTTTTAAAAAAATATCAAACTTAAAAAAAAAAAAAAAAAAAAAAAAACAAATTAAAAGGAAGAGAGGATTTCAAAATCAAACCCATGGGGAAAAGGAAGACATTAAGAAAACAATGTTCTCACAATCAAACACAGAAATACGAAGCCCTATGTGTGCATCATATTGTGGATAACTGTCCAATTCTATTGGCAATAAAAAAAAAAGTTAAATAAATAAACTATTTTATGAATATAAAAATCAAATCCGACAAATAAATTCTGGCCAATAAACTTATTATCCTTTCCAGAAATGCAGCCAAATCTCGTACTTTATATCCCAACAAATCAATCTAAATTAGCAGTTTTTCTGAGTCCCTGACCAGAAAGGGGAAATTAATCAAATTTTTGCATTACCATACATAATTAACTCAATCTAAGACCTCTTAACCAAAGAAGGCATCCGTTAAAACCTCTTTTTCACTAATCACCTAAACAAATTAACTTAATTTCCTTATGTCTTCAGTAAATATCATTGATGAATATCTAATCAATCAGATAGCTCACAAACTATTTCATTGATCAATAGCGTATTTGACAAATGAATTGGCTAATTGAGCAAACAAAAATTACCATAAGCAATGATACAACTTCAATTTTCTTGTGATTTTTATCAATTACAGCAAACACACACGCAGACGAGAGTTCAGAGAGAGGGAGAGAGGGAGAGAGAGAGAGAGAGAGAGAGAGAGAGAGACCGTGATGAGCGTAGAGGTATTTGTGCCGCCAGGAGTAAATGTGATCGCCGGGCTTCAGTTCATCTATTCCGATCTTGTTCGAAAGAACTCCGACCATCGCTCCTTCGCCGTCGAAACCACCGGCTCCGGCGTCGCTCTCTGCTTTTACAATCGGAAAATGAAGTTGATGGAACACCGGGCTTCAATTTGCTTATTCAGTAAGATTTGCATTTCGTTTGCTTTCAGGCAATAAATGCTTGCCTGACGTTTCCGACATGACACGTATGTTATTGGGCCCATTTTTGCAATTAATTGGGTCCTATTTAAGGCTCATATTGGGCCTCAAATCCCTTGTTATTAGGCTTCGTTTCTTATTTGGTTACATTATTGGACCGATTACCCGTTTGCATGTTTTATATGTTAATCTTTTGGGCCTATTATGCATAAAGCCAGTTGTTATATTATAGACCGCGGTGCATAATCGATTATGCACCGCGGGCTATATACGGTGCCGTTTTTTTAAGTAAAGAAACGGCCCGCCGTTAGAGTTAACGGAGTCCGTTTGTTTGGTGTATTAAACACCAACTGACATTACAGTATATCTAAACCGATACTGCAGTTATATCAAAATGATACTGTAGTTATAGTGAAATGAAACTGCAGTGTATATAAACTGAAACTGAATAACATTTCACATATTTGAGTGTATATTGTACAATGAAGCTGTAATTATATCAAAATGATCATGTAATTGTGTTTTAATAAAACTATAGTGTATATAAAATAAAATTAAATAACATTTTCACATATTTGAGTCTATAAATATCGAATGAAACTATAGTTATATCGAAATGAAACTGTAGTTGTGTTCAACTGAAACTGCAGTGTATACAAAATGACACTGAATAACAGAGTTATTTTTTACAAAAGGGTGCGAAACGGCGGAAATAAACACTGTTAATTTTCATTTAAAAAAAAAAAAGACGCGCGGTGCATAATCGATTATGCACCGCGGTGCATAATATAATTTGCCGCATAAAGCATAATGGGTGGCAATTTATATCCTACACCACGGCGCGCGTTGCACTATGCGCCCAGATGCAAAACGAGGTCGTTTTAATTTTTTTTTTTTTTTTTTTTTGAAATTTCCTGCCCCAGTGAATGGCAGTAGTTTTTTCTTAAAAAAAAACCCGTTGTTCAAGAATGTACATAATGTTATACTAGAATACACATAATTGTATACATGAATGTACATAATTATATAACAAAATATACATACTCTTTTTAAAAGATAATACACATAACCTAACATAATACATAATAAACATAAACTTTTAACATAATACACATCAACTATTAACATAATACACACAAATTTTCTGATTCGGATGTACATAATTGTATAAAAGAATGTACATAATTGTATGAACCAATACACATAACTGTATGAATCAATACACATAACTGTGTGAACAAATACACATAATCCCAGCAACTTCCTACCGCGCCTCCCAAAACGACGTCGTTTTGGGAGGCGCGCGGCGCACATTACTATGTGCGCCGTGGTGTAGGGTATAACGATTGATAATGGGTGGACGAGCAATTGACCTCTCCTTTTATATCTGAGAGAATATTTGAAAGAATGTAATTCAATAGTTTAACAGATATAGTTAAATGTTGGTGCGCATAAGAAATCTGCTCATTTTGGACATAATCTCTACATTGTTGATTCGAACATTGATCTCTTCTCTTAAATACTGTCTATTGAATCAATAAATTAAGTTCGTGCGGACTCTAAAATGTACATATACAACACCTTCAAAATATAAGGAATGATTTATTTTTGAGTTAATACCCAAAATCATCCTCGACTATAGTAGTTTTTCTCAATTTCGTCCTAAACGACTTTGGTGACCTAATATCGTCCCAAACTTTTGTGTTTTGCTCAATTTAGTCCTAGACTTTTGTGTTTTTGCTCAATTTAGTCCCTCATTTGTTATTCTGTCCATTAGGTGTTAAATAAATAGACAATTCAGTAATTTTAATATTGGCACCTCTTACTCATAGACATGTGAACTGCGAAATCCTTTTTTTTTTACGAATTACTCCTAAAACTGCGAATATAAAATTTAATTTGTAGGTCCGGGAGTAATTCTGGGTGTAATTCGTACAAGAAAGAGGAATTTCGCACTTCACAAGTTGAAAGAAAAGAGAGATCAATATTGACGTTACTGAATTGTCCCTTTATTTAACACCAATTTGATGGAATAACAAATGGAGGACTAAATTGAGCGAAATACAAAAGTCTGGGACGATATTAGGTCACCAAAGTCGTTTAGGACGAAATTGAGAAAAATCACTATAGTCGAAGACGATTTTGGGTATTAACTCATTTATTTTTTTTAACTAATCTTTTGGGCAAAATGTGTTGGTTACGTTGCGGAAAATGAAAATGAGAAAATCATTAATCATGCAATCTAACTAACGCGTTTTGCAGTGGCAATCCGTTCATAATAATTAATGATAGTAAAATCTGAATGACAAAACTTTAATTGAAAATATTAATAATAATAATGTAATTTGATGGGCATGGGGCCATGGTTAAGGAGAAAATAAAAGATTCATATACTAAGATAAGAAGGGATATGATGTCAAAATTTAGCATACAAAGTCTACGAAGAAAAAAAAAAAACAATTCAAAATTTGACTTACAAGCGATATGATATTTTTTTGTGTATATTTAGATGCAAAATTATTCATCAAAATTTTGATATCAATTTCTTCTAAAATTTTATTTTTAATTGCAATTAAAATCAATATGTGAATTCTAGAAACATAATTATCAACTATAAAAATAATAAATTATATTATATATTTTTTAAAAGTTGGGCCCTAATTGAGAGCCTTGTGCCATCCAGCCAGACAAATTTTATTGTGCACCATGGTTAATCATGAAATACGTATCATTTTAATGGCAATTTATATCATGCATCAGGATACGCATTGCATTATGCGCTCTGATGCAAAACGACGTCGTTTCAGATTTTTTATTTTATTTTTTTGAAATTTCGCTACCCTGTGTTGGCGGTTAATTTTTTTTTTAAAAAAAAATCTCAGGTTCAAAAATATACATAATTTTATACTAGAATACACATAATTGTATACATGAATGTATATATATAATTGTATAACAAAATACACACACTTTTTTTTTAAAGATAATACATATAATCTAACATAATACATAATATACATAAACTTTTAACATAATAAACATCAACCCTTAACATCTACTATACTAATAAGAGCCCAAGAGAATTAGGCATATAATGGGTATAAAAAATGGCGGTCAATTTTTTAATCAAATGAATGGCTCAGATTGATCAGATTTTAATTTTTCCTTAATATTTTCTAATTTATCCTTAATGAATATGATTTTCCGTTAACTTTTCTGTTAAATATTATCTTTTCCGTTAATTTCTATTAGTTCACCGTTAACTTACTCATTGATTTCAATAAGAAAGGTCTTAGGTTCGAACCTCATCCCAATCAAAGTTGGCATAATTAGTACTCTATTTTACTCTTATTAAATTCAATAATAATTTAGTAGCTACAACAAAAAAAATGCATATGCATTTCTTTAATTTAGAATTATGTGTCTACAATGTCTTTATTCAAAAAAAAAGTTCATTATCAATAAATTAAATAAGAGAAATAATTTAATTTTTTTTTTTTTTTGAATGTTACTGGCCCTATTACATTGTAGTATCTGTTCATAATTTAATTAGTTATATTGTATTTATTTTTCTCCAATATAAAATTTCTTTACATTCAAATCCATCAATTGATTATATTCGCTACATTATCCCTACAATGTCTTTATTAAAACAAATTATTCATTATCAATAAATTAATTAAGATAAATAATTTTATTAGTTATATTGTCTTTATATTTCTCCAATGTAAAAATTCTTTACATTCAAATTCATCAATTGATTATATTCACTACATTGTCTATTATCTTTTTTGTGCACTATTTTTTAATTAAATATCAAAGTTATACTACAAAATAATGCTATATATTTATTTACCAAGTATTTTATTAATACCATGAATTTTTTTTTTAAAAAAAATAAAATTAATAAAGCCAATCATATTAACTACTTGAGGAATTTGTTGACAAAGAGAGTATTCAAATCACACAACAAATTGAAGTGAGAACTATCTCGCAATGTCCTTGTTTGACAATCAGCAGTTAGCGAATTTAACCAGCAAATTATATCAATGGTTGGTAAAAAAGATATTTGAAAAAATTAGCATGTAAAATTATCTAAGGGTATACATATATTGAATAATAATAATAACAATAATAATAATAATAATAATAATAATAATAATAGTTTAAAAAAAATTATAACTAAGCCAATCATATTAACTACTTGGGGGATTTATTGACAAAAAGAGTATTCAAATCACACAACAATTTGAAGTGAGAAACAATCTCGCAGTGTCCTTGTTTGGCAATCAGCAGTTAGCTCTTCAATATTAGTATATATTTAATATTTTATGCCTAATTTTTATTTTCTTTCCCTTATGTCCCGTATTTAGTTTCAACCATACATATACAATTATTTTATTGATAATTATAATCAATCTTGACTATATTATCTTGCATTTGTAAATTTAGAATTGCCTATTTAAAGACACAAACATTCAATTATCTATGCATGAACAATTTCAATATAATCTTACCTTGATATACTTTAAAGTACTTATATATATATATATATATATATATATATATATATATATATATATATATATATATATATATATATATAACATTGGGCATTATCACAATCGCGCAATGCGCGTAAAAAACTAGTTATATATATAAATTTCATGTTTTGTATGTACATAATTGTATAAAAAAGATGCACATGATTGTATAAAAAATGTACATAATTGTATAAACAAATACACATAATTGTGTAAATAAATACACATAATTTATAAACAAATACACATAATCGCGTCAACTCCCTACATAACTTATCAAAATGACGTCGTTTTGGGAAGCGCGGGGCGCACAGTGCTATGCGCGCCGTGGTGCAGCGTATAACGATTGCATTTTAATTACATTTCAGTTTCATTTGACAATATTAATATGTTTTTTTTTTTGTTTCATTTTCTCTTTACACTAGTTTTATTATAGTAATACTAAAGTATCATTTTAATTCTACTATAG